TAAGGGGCGGCCATCTTTGTACTCCAGAGACCAAGACAGAGCTGGACGGAGCTGTGGCCTGAGACTGGCAGGTATTAGTCAGTTCAGAGCACGTTGATCCCTTTCATTGTTATGTGACATAGAATAATATATAGTAGGTTCCCTTTCTTTTTAATTTATTTACATGGCTTATTACATGATCATAAATGTGATAAAAGTTGTATTTAAGTAATCATAACTTACAGTAAACATGTTGTGTTATGAGAAGTACAGGGACAGCCATAGTTTACTTCTTTTTTAGAATGCTGGATATTAAACACAAAACGAAAAATGCAATGTATTGCAGCTTACCAATCAATAGATGTGGTGGCTGCATTAGTTTTCTTTATTTAGGCTCCCCCCCTCTGTTTTCACTTGATCTGGTCAGTAACACACCTCCTGTATTAAAGGGCCTCCACTCTGGATGAAGGAGCACAGGGGGCACCTTTGGACTGCAGCATTGTCATTCTGGGGGAGAGGGGAGTGTTAGATGTACTAGCAGACTGAAATACGCTAACAAATTGAAGCCAAACTCCAGCTGACACTTTAAAAATAGTTACAAAAGCAGTTTTTTTCCTTTTGGGATAATGGTGTTACATAAATTAAAGCTGATCATTGTAAGGACCCCTGTCAGTGTTTGAATGATTAATCCCATCCCTTTAAACTCCAGTCTTTTTTTACTGGGAACGTGGGGGGGGGACGGAGGTCCAGCACTGAATGTATGTAATGGCAAGGGGTGGTGCTGAAGTGTGTTGGAGGATCTATTGCTTATGGCTGCTTAGGATCTATTGTCACTGAAGGGGATCTATTTTTGTGTGGAGGTCTGTTGTTGCTGATAGGGTTCTATTGTTGATGGGGGTCAATTGTTGGGAGGGATCTACTGTTTGAGGGAGGAGTCTATTGTCGATTGTTGCTGGCTGCTGGAGAGCCTATTGATGCTGACTGCTGGGATATCTGTTTGTAGCTGCTGATTGTTTATCATTATTGGGGTGGTATATTGTTTTGGGGGTCTATTGTTGCTGCAGGAATCTATTGTTGCGGGGTCTGTTGTTGCTGGCTGCTGGAGAGTCTATTGATGCTGGCTGCTGGGAGATCAGTTGTAGCTGCTGATTGTCTATCATTATTGGTATTTTGTTTTGGGGGTCCATTGTTGCTGTGGGGTCTATTGTTACTGGCTGCGGGGGGATCTATTTTTCTGCTTTTCTTGTTAGCATCAACAAATTCCATACAAATTATTAACACCACAAAATTATATTTGGCTCTGTATTCTCTAAAAGGAACTGCACTGGGAGGAGGGTAGGGGGGTGGAGATAAGAAGTGACTTAGAAAGGGAGAGTTCCTGTACCTATTTATTGAGAAAAAAAGCCCTGTGTAAAGTGATACATCTGGAAGAGAGATTTGTTCTTTTGAAGAACAACAGACTCAGTGGCTGGATCACCAGATGAAAATTGAAGACAGAAAACTTAAAGTAAATTAATGCAGACATCACATCCAAGAATTGATAAGCTGCAGTACAATAGATATTTGCTTTTGGATTCAATACTGTTTGAACAATATGCTGATGTGGAGAGTCAAAGTAAGGGTTAATTCACACCAGCCTTTGTTCATAAATATGTGTGCATTGTGTATTCAGGGTAGGATGCATTATTACAATTCATCACAATGTTCACTTTAAAAAAAAAAAAAAAAAGAATGACACTTCTTTTAACACTATGCAGCACAGTGTTGTTACATAGCAAGGTTGAAAAAAGGCATACAGTGGATATAAAAAGTCTACACACTCCTGTTAAAATGTCAGGTTTCTGTGATATAATAAAATGAGACAAAGATAAATCATTTCAAGACTTTTAGGGGGAGGGCGAAATAAATATAAAAAAACTAAAATAATGTGGTTGCATAAGTGTGCACACCCTCTTATAACTGGGGATGTAGCTGTGTTCAGAATTAAGCAATCACATTCAAAATCATGTTAAATAGGAGTCAGTACACACCTGCCATAATTTAAAGTGCCTCTGATTAACCCCAAATAAAGTTCAGATGTTTTACTGGGGGTCTTTCTTGATGTTTTCCTAATCACATCCTACAGCAAAAGCCATGGTCTGCAGAGAGCTTCCAAAGCATCAAGCTTTAACAAGCATCTCCTTGTTAAAATGTATCAGTCAGGAGAAGGGTACAAAAGAATTTCCAAGGCATTAGAAATACCATGGAACACAGTGAAGACAGTCAAGTGGAGAAAATATGGAGAAACAGTGATATTACCAAGAACTGGATGTCCCTCCAAACTTAATGAAAAGACCAGAAGAAAATTGGTCTGGGATTCTGCCAAGAGGCCTACAGCAACATTAAAGGAGCTGCAGGAATATCTGGCAAGTACTGGCAGTGTGGTACCTGTGACAACAATCTCCCGTATTCTTCATATGTCTGGGCTATGGGTTACAGTGGCAAGACTGAAGCATTTTCTTATGAAGAAAAACATCCAAGCCCAACCTAAATTTTGCACAAACACATCTGAAGTCTCCAAAAAGCATGTGGGAAAATGTGTTCTGGTCTCATGAAACCAAGGTTGAACTTTTTGGCCATAATTCCAAAAGATATGTTTGGCGTAAAAACAACACTGTACATCACCAAAAGAACACCATATCCACAGTGAAGCATGGTGGTGGCCGCATCATGCTTTGGAGCTGTTTGTCTTCAGCTGGAACTGGGGACTTTAGTCAAGGTAGAAGGAATTATGAACAGTTCCAAATGCCAGTCAATATTGGCACAAAACCTTCAGGCTACTGCTAGAAAGCTGAACATGAAGAGCAACTTCATCTCTCAGCATGACAACGACCCAAAGCATATATCCAAATCAACAAAGGAATGGCTTCACCAGAAGAAGATTAAAGTTTTGGAATGGCCCAGACCTGAATCCGATCAAAAATCTGTGGGGTAATCTGAAGAGGGCTGTGTACAGGAGATGCCCTTGCAATCTGACAGATTTAAGAAAAATTTTATAATAGCTCCTATGGTCAAAATTGTATAACTTACTAATAGTGTACCAGCTGCAAAAAACCACCATATATAAAGTGTACCAATTAATAAATAATTTGCGCTAGTAAATATATATAAATATATGTAAAGAAATCATCAAATCATAAGTCCAGAAAAATATATATATACCAATACCACAGAAAAATATATAAAAAACTTTTTAGGTGCAAAAGGAGTGTCTCAATATAAAAAAAGTGTCTCAATATAAAAAAATTTCACCAAAAAACCTTGATAATATAATGGCAGATCATCCATAAAAATATCTTCAGAAACGGAAGCTCTCCAACACACCGATCCTCATCGATCGAAATAACAGGACGAAAAACTTTGTAGTTAATCGAAAATCCACTTCTCCAGTAGAAAAAGGACCACCTTCAAACGTATCCATGGGGGGAAATGCCAAGCACTCGAGAGAAACAGACTTCATGGTGCAATATTATAAAAACCAATTCCTTTATTAGATACTCATTGCACTTACTCAAGAGGTGTCCCAGCCGACACCAGCATCAACAGCATCAACAGCAATCACATAATGTGATTTATGTGATTGCTGTTGATGCTGTTGATGCTGGTGTCGGCTGGGACACCTCTTGAGTAAGTGCAATGAGTATCTAATAAAGGAATTGGTTTTTATAATATTGCACCATGAAGTCTTTCTGTTTCTCTCGAGTGCTTGGCATTTCCCCCCATGGATACGTTTGAAGGTGGTCCTTTTTCTACTGGAGAAGTGGATTTTCGATTAACTACAAAGTTTTTCGTCCTGTTATTTCGATCGATGAGGATCGGTGTGTTGGAGAGCTTCCGTTTCTGAAGATATTTTTATGGATGATCTGCCATTATATTATCAAGGTTTTTTGGTGAAATTTTTTTTTATATTGAGACACTTTTTTTATATTGAGACACTCCTTTTGCACAAAAGTTTTTTTGCACCTAAAAAGTTTTTTATATATTTTTCTGTGGTATTGGTGTATATATATATTTTTTCTGGACTTATGATTTGATGATTTCTTTACATATATTTATATATATTTACTAGCGCAAATTATTTATTAATCTGACAGATTTGAAGTGTTTTTGCAAAGAAGAGTGAGCAAATATTGCCAAGTCAAGATGTGTCATGCTGATACTCATACCCAAAAAGACTGAATGCTGTAATAAAATCAAATGGTGCTTCAACAAAGTATTAGTTTAAGGATGTGCGCACTTATGCAACCATATTATTTTAGTTTTTTATTTTTACTTCCCTCCATCTTCACACACGAGGCCGGTTTAGAAGTGTCTTGAGACAGTGGTACCATTTGAGGGGTCCTTAAAGGCACAAGCGCAGGAACCTGACCATACCTGGAAGTGATTGCCCTGGCTGACCCGATGAGACGATTATGATCTCAAATGCATTTTGATAGCGCACTTCTGGTGAGTGTGCGCAAATCATATATTTCTCGTCTTTTCATCACAGCATTGATTATAAGGAACTGAACTCCTAGAATTCAGATCTGATATGACCTACAAGTCTACAATTTGGATTCATTCTTACTGATTGACCATTTATTGGTGGTAGAATACCACCGTTTGCACCTGGATAATATTGTACTTATATTGTAGTATTGCTTGACTCACAATGCTTTACAGATTCATAGAACAGCGCTGCACTATTTCTTGTATATTATCAGCAAAGGCAACTGTTTGTCTCCTTAGTTTTCAGATGGAGCACGCTTGTCTTGTATGATTGGGTTCTGTGCCATGACCTGCACTGCACTGTTTATTCACAATATTGGCCAGTAAAATATATTGAGTAGATGAGATCCCTGTGTGTATGCTGACACTATAAATAATACGTGCCCTCTTTTCTTAGGTTTAACCCACTGAAGCTTTGAAGACTGTGTGATTTTTTTCATGTCAGCAAAAGCTCTGTGTTTTACATGTCAGTCTGCTACTTCCAATTCTAAAATATGTCGAAAGCAACTAAACGAAAACATGTAGTAAAAGAGGTTCTACTGGAATATGTCCAGCCTACAGAGAATCAGCGCATAGTAAAGGTAAGTATAATTTGCATGTTTTGTAACTTGTCTCAGCAGGTTCTGCCAATACTTTCCAACAAAAATCCCATAAAATGTATGTGTTTTATAAAATCGGAACTTCACTCTCTCAAACAATATTGACTGTTTTTAATCCTTATGCTGCTAAAAGTATATCATATTTACTTTTTTGTACATTTCTTTAGTTCCTTCCTGGTTTCCAGGCCTAGGCTAATGATGGTACACATCCAGGAGTCTAAAGCAGGGGTGAAGTGGTTTTCTTAGCTAAGCACACCCTCCTGCTTGCATGCCTGAGCTAAGGGCAGATGGATAGCAGGAAGTAAATGCTACACGAATCATCTTCCCTTACTCAAGATTGCCACTTAAATGTTATTTTTTTAAATGTATTTTTAATAACAATCTTGTTATACTTACTTGCTCTGTTCAATAGTTTTGCACAGAGCAGCCCTGATCCACCTTTTCTCGGGTACCCTGCCAGCACTCCTGGCACCTCCCCCTGCCGCATGGCCACCATATCAGGCTGCTTGCTTGGCCTCATTAATTTATACAGAGGTTAGAAAATTAAAATTATATTTATAAAATTATACTGCTTTATTATAACATTACCCAAAATTAAAACCTACAGAAGCATCCTTGAATACTAAGGTAACAAACAGAGGCGGACTGACAACTCATGGGGCCCCCGGGCAATAAGGGATCATGGGGCCCCTGTGTCCTTGCCCAAACTCAAGCCTATGAAAAAGGTACCAGGGGCATCTCATAGGGGCCCTCTACTGACCCCGGGCCCTCGGGCAGTGCCCGAGTTTCCAAATGGTCAGTCCACTCCTGGTAACAAATAAATCTGCAGTACTGTATATCTTGTATCTTTTAGTACCTCTACACTGTGTGAAACTGATTTAGTTACCATTGTCATCTATATATTGCATCCTAGCATCATATTGTATTTATTAGTAGTATGCTGACACAAGATTACAGGCTTGACTAGCAATGCTCTCTATACATTTTAGGACATCTCTCTCTACTTCACAATATTGTCCTCTTACTTTCCCCAGCTTTCCATTCTGCTGCAAAGTTTATTAATTCTTGCTACTACAAACTTTTATCTTTTCACATCTTCAGTTTGCCCTGCTTCATACCTCTGCTTGATCAGTGTTCTCCTCTACCATTAAAGTGATTTGTAAAGGCTTACATTTTTTTAAATAGCAAACAAATATTGCACAGAGTGGCCCCGAACTTTTTATTCTGGGGTCCCCTTTTGGTGCTGTAGGCTCCTCCAATTCTCCAAGTGCCCCCATAGCAAGCCGCTTCCTATGTAGGCACTTGTGCAAGCTCGATCCCAAGCCAAGCTGTGTGTGTGTCCCGCCCCCTGCTCTCTACTCACAGGATTTGATTGACAGCTGCGGGAGACAGTGGTCCTGCTGCATCAGTACATCCTGTGAAAACGGGGAGAGAAGAAAGCTGCAACAGAAGGGTACGGGGTTGGATCAAGTGAGAACTTGGGTAAGTATAAGGGCGAGGGTTGATACTGCTATTGGGACATTTTTTACCTTAATGCAGGGAATGCATTAACCACATGCCGCCCAGCCACTGTAGAAATACGTTCACAGGGCGCCACGGCTGGGCAAACCCACGGTTTAAAACCTGTGTTTTCAAAACGGGCAGGGGACGTGCGAGGCGCGCCACCCGCCCTACCTGTCCCGCCGATCACGACCGCAGATGTCAGTCGCCGGGTCACAGCCAGTCGTTACCAGCTGTGTCCCGCCAATTAGCGGCAATCACTGGCAGAGAGCAGGGCTGCAGTAGCTCTGCTCTTTGTCAGTTCCCTGACAGCTCCTGACAGGCTGATAGGGAGAGAAGAGTTTCTCTCTCCTGATCAGCATTTCCCTGTGCAGTACACACCCCCGCCCCCTAATAAAACACTCCCCTCACACAGTTAACCCTTTCACTGAATAATAAAGTTAACCCCTTCCTACCCAGTGCCATTAGTACAGTGTCAGTGTTTTTTTTTTTGCACTGATCACTGTCTTGGTGTCACTGGGGATGTCAGTGACCCCAAGTCAGTTCCCCCCCCCCAGTGTCAGAATGTCCGCCACAGTCCTGCCATAAGTCGCTGATCACTGCCATAAGTCGCTGATTGCTGCCATTATTAGTATAAAAAAGAATAAAAAATTCCAGTATCTTTCCCGCCATTTGTAAACGCTATAACTTTCACGTAAACCAATTAATTTACACGTATTGGGTTTTTTTTTTAGCAAGACATGTCGCAGAATGCATTTTGGCAGAAATTTATGACTAAATTTGATTTTTAAATTTTTTTTTTTTACTGGACGTGTTTTAGAGCAAAAAGTCCAAAATATTGTTTTTTTTCCTCAAAATTGTCAGCCTTTTTTTTTTTTTTTTTTTATAGTGTAAAAAATAAAAAAAACGCACAGGCGATCAAATACCACCGAAAGAAAGCTCAATTTGTGGGAAAAAAAGGATGTAAATTTCATTTATCTACCGTATTGCATGACTGCGCAATTAAACTACCGCAGCGCTGTATAGCAAAAGCATAAATTGCAGTATCTATACCAGGGGTGGGCAAACTTTTTTTGACTTGAGGGCCGCAATGGGTTCATATATTAGACCCGGGGGCTGGACCAAGAGTAGATGAATGATGTGTATGTGTCATCCATAGTAAGTATAGTAATATTCCCCCATAGTAAGCATAGTAATTCATCCCCCATATAGTAATTCATCCCCCATATAGTGATTCATCCCCCCTATAGTAATTCATCCCCCCTATAGTAATTCATCCCCCATATAGTAATTCATTCCCCATTTTAATTCATCCCCCATATTAAGTCCCCAAGTCCCCCTGTGTCAATTCACTTACCTTTGCTCCGCGCGTTCCTCTCGCCGTGTTCCTGCGCCGTTCCGGTGTAGCATGAAAATCTGTCTCCTGTGAGGATCTGTCCCCCTCGACGTATCTGCGCATGTGCCAGTTTCAGGCATTCGCAGCCGATCGGCGATCTCCGGCACATGCGCAGATACGTCGAGGGGGACAGATCATCATAGGAGACAGATTTTCATGCTACACCGGTCTTCAGGGCGGACTGTGAGAGGAGCCTAGCGGGAGCCTAGCTTCGCGGGCCGGATTAAAAGGTCCACCGGGCCGTAGTTTGCCCATTGCTGATCTATACCATAGTTTGTAGACACTATAACTTTCACACAACGCAATCGATATACACTTATTGGGATTTTTTTTACCAAAAACATGTAGCAGAATACATTTTGGCCTAAATTTATAACTAAGTTTGAGTTTACTATATATATTTTTTTTTATAGCTGAAAGTAAAAAATATTGTTTTTCTTCAAAATTTTTGGTATTTTTTTGTTTATAGCGTGAAAAATAAAAAGCACACAGGTGATCAAATACCACCGAAAGAAATCTCTATTTGTGTGAAAAAAAGGATGTAAATTTTCGTTTGGGTGCAGCATTGCATGACCGCGCAATTATCAGTTGAATTAGTGCAGCGCCGAGTAGCAAAAAGAGGCCTGGTCATTAAGGGGGGTAAATCCTCAGGAGGGCAAGTGGTTAATGTAAAAATGTCTTGGCTTTAAAACCACTTTAACCTTGTTTCCCTACCTCTCTTGTTTATTTCCCTTCCTATTTGCCTTCTACCTCCCTCTCTAATGCTTCATGGATAAAGCTTCATTTTTCTGGTAAATGCACCTGGCACTTACCTTTCCCTCTGTGCATTCATATTGTTACCCTATTTTTATTTTTAATTTTTTTACCCTGTGGCCAGGCCTAGTTTGTTCCTGTACCTTTCATGTACACCATTGGGATGTTTTTCATGGAACTGGAAATCCTAGCTCTGAGAAAAAGATGTACTCTGAAGCCCCTTTTACATGGGTGACATCCGTTCAGTCACATTTTTTTCAAAGAAAAAACTAATTTTTACACCAGTGTTTGTTTCAGTTTACATCAGTTTTCATTGCAGTTCAGTTTGCATCAGTCTACATCCGTTTTTTGTATCTGTTTTTTTTAAGTTGTTGCAGAAACCAAACAGAGGTAACAGTTGTATAAACAAACGTTTCTTGCCTTGACCCAAACAGACGGCATCCATTTACTTCCCTTCTGTTTCAATGGATCTGGACGTTGGCTGTTCTGTTTAAAAAAAAAAAACAGAACTGAATGGACACGGTTATAAATGGATGATCATCATTTACGTTCCCTCTCAGCTTTTTTTCTCTGATATCTAACTCCTATTTCCCAAGTTGTCATCCAGGATGGCCCACTAGATGTAGAGCTCCTCTCACGGGACAGGAAACACGTTACCCCCCCCACAGATTAACGACTTCCAGACACTTTTACCCCCTTCCTGTCCAGGCCAATTTTCAGCTGTTAGCGCCATCACACTTTGAATGACAACTGCGCGGGCATGCAACACTGTACCCATATGAATATTTTTGCATTTTTTTGAGACAAATAAAGCTTTATTTTGGTGGTATTTATTCACCACTGGGATTTTTTTTTTTTTTTTTTTGCTATATAAATTAAAAAGTCCAAAAATTTAGAAAAATAAAATTTTGCAAATAAATATTTCATCATAAATCTTGGCCAAAATGTATTCAATTATTATTTTAGTAAAAATAAAATAACCCAAATTAGTTTATAGCCAAAAATTATAATTTTTAAAATTTTTTACATTTTTATTTTATTTTTTTTATATTTGTTTTTTTACATACTGTCACTGTACTGCTTGTGGGGGTGATGAAGATTTTTATTTTTTTTTTTTAACACATTGCTTTTGCACCCATAAAGGCTGTAAAAGCACTAATTTCTCCTTCTCTCTGGCTGCATTCTTGCAGCCATTGAGAAATACTGTGTGAGCTGTGATTGGTCACAGCTTGTTACATGGTACAAGGCAGTTGTGAATAGCCTTGTACCATGTGACCTCTGTGATCATTCACAGATTTCACACATAAGCAATGATGTCAGAAGTGACATCTTG